GGGTTTAGGGTTTAGGGTCTAACTTCTGAGGTAAGTAGAGCTCATGGCCTGGAAACGCTCGTGCACCATATCCACGGACCAGCGCAAAGTGTACAATGTGTCACCTGGGATCACACCCTAACTCCTAAACCCTAAACCNNACCCTAAACCTTAAACCCTAAACTCGCATGCAATCCACGAGCAAACATGTTCCGCAACTTGTCCCCAAATCCGCGGGCCTGCAAAAACACCGAAGCTCCTACTAAAACCTAAACCCTAGCGTTTAGGGTTTAGGATTACAACATGTCATCCACAACATGTCATCGTCGCGCAATTGGGGGGGAGGCCCTAGAAGGGCTGACGTTGGCACTGGGGCAAAGGGTTTGAGGTTTTACGGCTAAGGATTCTTTGCCTGGAGTATCTAGAGTCCCTAAAACCCTAAACCCTAAACCCCTAAACCCTAGAATCTAGAGGTTTCACCCTAAACCTGAAACCCTAAAATCTAGAATCTAGAGGGTTCACCCTAAACCCTAAACCCCTAAACCCTAGAATCTAGAGAGTTCACCCTAAACCCAAAACCCTTAAACCCTAGAATCTAGAGGGTTCACCCTGAAACCCCTGAACCCTAAACCCTAGAATCTAGAATCTAGAGGGTTCACCCGAAACCCCAAACCCTAAACCCTTACCCCAAAACCCTAACCCGTTCGATCCTCAGGAACAATTTCAACGCGCCTACAGTGATGCCGGGCCGCCCGTCAGCGCGAAGTTCAGATTTCGACCGATTTCGATCGGATCCTCAAAAGGCTTCGTCAAGGATTGTTTAGGGTTTAGGGTTTAGGATTTAGGGTTTAGGGTTTAAGGTTTAGGGTTTAGGGTTTAGGATTTAGGGTTTAGGGTTTAGGGTTATTCTATGAGGACTGAGGATTCAAGGGTTTAGGGTTAGGTTACCTGCAGGTTTCTATAAGGGCTGAGGGCTGAGGGTTTCGGGCTTTAGGGCTTTGGGTTTGGGGAGAAGGTTTAGGATTTGGGGATAGGGATTTTTGGGTGGAAGGAAACCCTAAAACCTAAACCCTAAACCGAAAAACTTAAACCCTAAACCCTAAAACCTAGACCCGGCCAGGAATTCATTATTTCGACCGGCAAACCCCCCGATCTGACCCCCGATTGCCGCTGCCCAAAGCAACTCCAACTCCGGGGGGGAGGTTCAATCCGCCTTCAGCTCGTAAACAGTTTACTGTTTGGGGTAGGGTTTAGGGTTTAGGGTTGAGGGTTTAGGGTTTAGGGTTTAAGGTTTAGGGTAAACCTGAAACCCTGAACTCGAAACCCTACACCCTAAACTTAAACTTGAAACCCTGAACCCCGAAACCCTACACCCTAAACTTAAACCTGAAACCCTGAACCCGAAATCCTAAACCCTAAACCCCGAAACCCTGAAACCCTGAACCTGAATCCTGTAAACCCTACACTTAAAAGCCCTAAACCCAACCTTAGGGGCTGAGTACCCTAGCCCAAAAAAGGTTAACCTTTTGATGATAGTAGGATTATGAAAGCCCCAAAAAGGTTAAAGGTTACCTACTCAGCCCCTTAGGAAACCCTGAAACCTGTAAACCTTGCCTCGATATGCAGGCAGCCATCCTCACCGCCTCCCCGCGGGCGTCGCGGCATCCTTCGGAAGGCGCCGGGATCTTTCTTGAGACGGGCATGGGGTTAAGGGTTTAGGGGTTTAGGGGGTTAGGGTTTAGGGTTTAGGGGCTTAAGGTTTAGGGTTTAGGGATTTAGGATCTAGAGTCTTGGGTTTTGGGGGTTTCAATATGGATTTAGGATCTAATTTCGGATGTTGGGCTTCAGGGATTTGGGGTAGTGTTGGGCTTCAGGGATTTAGGGTAGAGGGTTCAAGGCTTAGGGTTTTTATTGTTTGCGGTTCAGGGCTGAGGCTTCAATCTAAGGCTTTTGCTGACGGACCCTACGAACAAGTAGGTTATGGTATGGTACGGGAGGGCTCGGGGGATTTGGAGGCTGTAAAGCTTCGAAGTTATGTGGGTGCTGTAGGGTCTAGGGGATTTACAGTGAGCAACAAGGGGGGGAAAGAAGGTCAGGACCTGTACCTTGGCATTACCCGCCACTGCCTTCCTTCAAAGGTGGCTTGGTTGCCTAATTAGTGCCAAACCCGCTTCGCTCCGACAAACACCCAGCATCTAGAACCCTGCAGCCTCAGAGCCAAGAAACGGCGGAATGAAACCCCAAGCACCCCAATGCACGAAAGCAGCGGTGCAAGCAAATAGTGGCGGGCATGCAGATTTTGGCTGGCATTTCCCGGCGGTCTGCTCATGCGGACAATGGCCGGGTTATATGATATGGGTAGTTCTCTAAATTAGGGTCCCTGTTTCGGTCCCAAATACAGTACGGCACCCTCATAAACCCTAAACCCTAAACCCTAAAAGGGACCCCAATCTAGAGAACTACCCATATCGAGGCCTCAGGAGGTTTAGGGGGGGTGTTTATAGGATTTCTGTCTCGGGGGTTTGGCGGGCCAAAGAGCTGAGGAGTTGAGGGCTTAGGGTTTGGGGCCTAGGACTGTAGGAGTTTAGGGTTTAGGATTTAAGATTTAGGGCTTAAGGGTTTAGGGTTTAAGGTTGAGGGTTTGGGGTTTGGGGTTTAGGGCTTAGGGCCTAGGGTTTGGGGCCTAGGAATTTGGGGGTTTAGGGTTTGGGCCTATAGGAATGTGGTTAGGGGCTGTTGAATCTGGACCTTCGGGTGCGTGTACCTCGATTACGCGTGACGTGCCTTCACGCGGATCGTCTCGATGGCATTGAAATTCAGGCCTGCGCAGCGAACCTCCCTGTGCTCCTTGTTGAAGAGTATGCGAGACGTCTTCACATCATCAAACGCATGAACTGCCGTCGGCTCGTCCGAGAACTCATAGAAGAGCACGTTGTGCACACCTTCTTCTGTCCCCAGCATCCACTTGCCCTGAGGTGGCTTGTCTTTGAGAGGGTTTGTGAGGAAGCTACAGTTCGTGACAACCCCTGCCCAAACTGCCAAGCCGACAACTGCGGTGACCGGCAAAGCTACAGCACAGATGGTGCCAGCGAGCGCAGTGCCTGCGAGGGAAGCTCCTGTGCCAACTGCCTGCAAGGTTGCAACAGTACTCCCGGCAGCGACACCACCACCTTCAGCAATGGCTGCTGCTGACATCATCCCAGCTGCGGCAGAACCTGCGGCGATGCCCTCGGCCGTGAAGCCAAGCGCGCGGCAATTCCCGGAGTCACAGCAAGAGCCACGGCTGTTCCTGTTGCCCCAGATGCAGCCATGGCACCGAGAGCGTGAGCAACATGGGCTCGGCATAGCGGAACATCCCGGGAGTGCTAATGGTCCACTGCTCCCATTCTCCACACGAATCTCTATCGGCATGAACCACATTTCCGACTCCAATGTTCCGGAAGTCACCGCCATCCGCGCAGAGGTACTTTCCATGGCATGACTTGAAGGCCACGATGTAGCCATCGGAACCTGGGGCATTCTCCATGCTCCATTTCTCCGAGCCTCGGGCGCTCTCCCGATCTGCCGCCACAAATCCATCGGCCTGAGCTGTGAGGTATTTGCCGTGATGGGATCGCAGAGCTACCTTGTCGCCATGGAACTCCATCGTCCACTTCTCCCACTCTTTGGCTTTTCCGAACCTGTTCGCGACACTTTGCCACCAGGTTCTGAGCAGAGAGCAGGAAAACGATTCACAAGCATGCCGCGTCTTCGCGAGCGGACCACAACTGTCGCGGGCTGCATGGCTGGTAACCTTTAGCCCTAGGCTGAAAGCACTTCCCCGCCCGATTGGCTGGATTCTTGCTTCTTTGAGCTGAGCAGCCAGGACGACTGATGAACTTCAGGCAGCCAAACTATAAAGGTCTGATGACTCAGGCCAGTTTTACGATGGGCTTTCCTAGCAAAAAAAATTGTCAGTCCCACTGCTACTCCAACAAAAGTCAGCTTCATCGTCTGTCGTTGTGCGAATGAGCATCACCTGTCTTCTCTTGGTTGACCTACTGGCTCAATGCAATGTTCATGCCTGCACCTCCCTGTCGTTCGTGCTTTTGTTGCTCTTATGCCAGCTGCAGATACCGGGGCTTAACGATTACAAAGGCTTCTGGGCAAGTTGTGCTAGAACCCTCATAAAAAAAACAACTCAAAAGAACAATATTGCTAACAATTGGCAATTGAGGCTTCTAGATTCAACCTGGGTTCATAATGGGATCTTGGAAAGAATAGGAATAGCCGAATCCCTAGACCAACCCACGAAGTGTCAAAGTTCCTACAGCATAATTGGATCTTACCCTAAACCCTAAACCCTAAACCCTTAAACTCTAAACCCTAAACCCTAAAACCCTAAACCCTTAAACCCCAAACCCTAAACCCTCCAACCCTAAACCCGAAAACCCTAAACCCTAAAACCCTAAAACCCTAAAACCCTAAACCCTAAAAACCTGCACGTTTCAGCCACATAAGTCGAAGCACAGAGGTAACCTAAAGCACAAGCAGAAACTTGGTGCAGTCCAATTCTACGCAATATAGGGGCCTTAATACACGGTTAGAGTAGGGCCCATTATACCAATAAAGAACCCCCAAAAATAGTGTTCCTACAATACCATGAAACCTCGAAGAAAGCTCCCCAGTCCATACCCGAAGATAAACCTCGTCTGCCTCTTTGCCCGCGGGCTTTAGGGCTTAGGGCTTGGGGTTTAGGGCTTAAGGTGTAGGGTTTAGGGTTTTGGGCTTAGGGCTTAGGGCTTAGGGTTTGGGGTTTAGGGTTTAGGGTTAGGGCTTCGGGATTTAGGGATTTAGGGTTTAGGGTTCAGGGTTTATAGGGTTTGGCTAGGGAATTAAGTTAGAAGCCGACATCGAAAACACGCCCCGCCTGGGATGGAAGACGTGGTCAACACTGGAGACGTTGTTGCGGGAGCCCATGCGAACAGACACCACCTCTCTGCGAGATCGCGTTCACCCAAAAGGCAACAATCCGGATCAAGGGACCCTAAACCCTAAACCCTAAACCCAAAAAGCAAGGAAAAGCGTATTAAGGCCTAAACCTTAAACCCTAAACCCAAAAAGCACGGAAAAGCGTGTTAAGGCCTAAACCGTAAGAATGTGACTCTGAACATCGAGGTTCCCAGATCTTCCAAGATCCCTCAGTTCAGGAATATGCCTTTCACTCATACTAGACCCAAGAGAAACCTCGGAACAAAAAGGGTGCCCTTTTTGGTTTAAAGGACCTTATAAAGGAACCTGAACCCCAAAAAAGGGAATAAGGGCCTACTCTGGGTCCTAGCATATTAGAGATCCTGCTCTAACTCAAGGTATATCCTTAGACCCTAACCCTTAAGCCTTAAACCCTAAACCCAAACCCTAAAACCCACCCCTAAACCTAAAACCCTAAACCGTAAAGCCTAAACCCTAAACCCTCCTTAACTAAGGGGATATCGGGGTAGTTTTCTAAGTTTGGGTCCCGTTTTAAGTCTCAACTATAGTACGGCACCCTTCTAACAAGGACCCTAAAAGGGAGCCTAATTTAGAGAACTACCCTTATAGTACCCTTATAGAAACCCTTATAGGTCCCTCTCAGGATCCCTAAAACGGACCCTGAAAGGGATCCTAAGGGGACCCTGATTTAGAGAACTACCCATATCGAGGCCTCAGGAGGTTTAGGGAACCCTAAACCCTAAACCCCAAACCCTAAACCCTAAACCCTACACCCTAAACCCTAAACCCTAAACCCTAACCCTAAACCCTAAATCCTAAACCAAAGGGGACCCTGATTTAGAGAACTACCCATCGAAA